GGTCTCGAACCTGCGGGCTCAGGCAATCCACTCACCTCAGCCTCCCAAAGGCGCGGTATTACAGGCTGAGCCACTGAGCCCGGCTCCTTTTTTTTTTAAATTAGCGAAGACAACTTAGGCTTTACAATAACAAAAACATGATTAATGCACAATCCCTTTACAGCATAATTCTCTATGCAGACAGGCCTGTCTCAACAAACCTGTCCCAACAAAGCTGGGTTGTAAAGCAGATCATAGAAAAGGGGACTGAATTTTCCCATAGGAAAGACTTAGTCACTACATAATTTCTCTTGAAAACTGCCCATATCTGCATTCTACCCATTCTAAGCATTTTTCTTCAAATCAATTATATCAACATGCTTAAAAGTTAGACTCATCCTATGGGAATAGCACCCATGAATTCCTGAGTTTCTTGAGCTAGTTGTTTATTACATTAAAATGATGTATAAATACATAGTTATTCAAATTTAAAATATTTGCTGTTTGTTACTGGCAGAGTTGTACCATGATTTGGGAAGCACCTGATTTCCTGAGACAGATGGGAGCACACCCAGAGAGGGGAAGGGGCTTGAGAAGGTCACATGTGGAGATCCTAGGCCTCCTGACTCCCAGTTCAGAGTTCCCTCCCCTGAGGCCAGACTGGCTCATTATTGCTATCCTGAAAAACAGAAAGAGTGGTCCCGGGAGCACAGCAAAGGTGACCTTTGTCACCCTCTTGCCAATTGCAATTAACATCATTTTTCTAAATAGGACCGCTGCATTTGTCCCTTTGGGCATTAAAAAGGTTTCTGTAGGATGAATTAGTTGGCCAATGTCTTTTACGAAAGCTGAAGTGGAGGCTATTTTTTCTTGGAATGTGTTTCCCTGTGCCAGGCAAGGATAATAAGGTTTGTCCCAAACTGGGAAGCCAGCTGAAGACTTGTGGGGGGTGGGGGTGGGGAATAGAATGTGTGGGCAGGGTGGGACAATGGCCCTTGCAACCTGCAGGCCCTCTCACACAGGGCCTCAACTGTGGGGGCCTTCTGCAGCTGGTCCTCCTGTCTGGGCCCACTGCCCACAGCATCCTGGGCCCACTGCCAGGCAGACTCAGTGGACACCATGGCAGGGAGGAGCAGTTGCTTCTTTAGCTCCAGGATGCTGGGGACCAGTCAGAAGAGAGGAGGCAACAACTTAAAAACAGTGCTAGGGTATTGTTTTAACCACCATTCCACTGGGAGCCCCCTTTTTGTCCCTTCCCCCATCCCTTGACAGAGTTTGGGATAAAAGCGGAGTCTATTAGAAGGCGCCCAATAAGCCCAGTAGAAGTTAAATCAGTTGATGTCTTTCTTCCCAGAGCAAAATTTATTCTTGTGCCTTAGAATCATAAAGGTCTGGGATGTCCCTTAGGCCAGATGAGGAAAGATCCAAACTAAACCACATATATAGAAATGGGAAAGAATATGTCATTTTCTGAATCCCTTCTCCACTGACCCCACTTCTTACCCCTCTACACAACTTTAAAAGGTTGATAGCTTCTGCTGGCCCAGGCCCCTCTGACCACAGTTAGGGCTTTAGGGACTTTTGGGCCTTTTTCAAAACTTCCTCTCTGATCTTGGGGTAGTTAGGGTATTCCTGGAGGACCTGGAACAGAGAGAATGGGTGTATGGCCTCAGGCAGGGGTCCCAACCACTGCACCAGGCCCTCCCTGCCGATATTGGTGGCTTACATTGTGGCAGATTTCGATGGCCTCCACAAATTTCTTGTCCTTCAAGTAGTTAAAAGCAAGTTTGAAACCTGTCCAGGGGCATGGAGAACATAGATGGTGGTACCCTGATGACCTGAGAATGCTTCTGATTCCCACAACAGCCAGGGTACAGCCTTGAGATCTGGAGTCAAGCTGTGCCCACCTCCATCCCTCCCTCCACGTGCACTTGGGCTGCCAGCCTTACCGATGGCAGGGTTGGCCTGATGACTACACTTCCAAGCTAGCTCGTAGTTGGTGGCTGCATCCCTGTAGGACTGCTCCTTCTCCATGATGAAGCCCATGTACTCATAGGCCTTGCAGCAGGACTGCAGGAAAAGCCCGTCAGAGCCTCTGTGGAGGCGAAGCCACAACCCGTCCCGCGTCCCTGGTGCCAGCATGGCACCGGACCGGATTGATCAGGAAGGGGTCGAGACCCGGAGGGGCAGGGACCAGGAGGGGGCAAGGGACGGCGGTGAGCCGCATTAAACCAAACTGCAGAGACCCCAGGGGCACCCTCTCCTTTGTGAGAGGCGACCTGCTGGCCACCCTAGCTCCGGCATACCCCCTTTCGGCGCAGCCCTCTTGTCCCGCCGCTCATGTTCGTGACACGTTCTGTCCCACAAACTCTCCTCCTGGCGGAACCCCACAAACCTTTCCCATGTCTCCATCAGTGTTCCCTCCTCTGGGCATGACCGGACTGCGGGCGCCTCCTCATGCCTGGCCCTATCGCCCGTGCTCCCCGTTCCTGTGCTGGTCTGTCGCCCACGTGCCCCTCGCGTGCTGCCCCTTCCGGCGCCCCTCCCGGCGCCCTGGCGGCCTCCCCCGCCCGCCGCCAGCCTCGCGTGCTCGCCTTGTTGTACAACACGCAGCGCTGCAGCAGCTCCCAGGCCAGGTCGAACTTGCCGCCCTGGCAGTAGATGTCGGCCAGCAGGAGCCAGCTCTTCTCCAGGTCGTCGGCCTCGGCCAGAGCCCACGGGACCTTGGCCAGTCGCTTCAGCTGCGTGCGCGCCTTGGGAGTCTGCTTCAGGATCATGTAGGCCTGTGCCAAAGCCAGCAGGGCGG